CAAGGAGCCCTTTCATTTGCAATTTTTTTTTTAAGATTTTTATTGGGGAATTGGGGGGATCGGAACAGTGCTGGGAAATTGGGGGAAGGGGAACAGACAAGTTGCTGTCCTTTTGTTCTTCAGTCTAGTTGTGGAGGACGTTGCTTCACTGGCCCAAGTTGGCACCATCACTGCACTCTTCCCGGGCGAGGCAGATCAGTCGCTGGCTGGCTGCTGGCCGCTCACGCTGGCTGCTGGCTACACACGGTAGCCCATGGCAACCCACTGCAGCAGGGGCTGCAGCCTATACCGTCGCCGGCGATTCACAGCAGCCCAGCTCCAGGTTGAGCTGTTGTTCAGCATCTTAGCTGTGGAGGGCAGTGTCACTGGCCCTCACATGTAGGATCCGAACCGGGGCCCTCTGGCATCCCAAGCCAGTTCTTAACCATCGTGCCACTCGGCCGGCCCTGCAATTTTTATTTTACATTGGGCCCCAAACCTTATGTGGCTGGACCCTCTAAAGGGCGGGTGGGGGGAAGTGGACCTTAGGACAATCTGCAAGGCTGATGAATTAATTCCTTAACAAAATCATTTTTGTAATCCCATAAAACAAAAATAAATGTGACATGTTAAATTAAACACATTAAAACAAAATGATACTGTATGACATGGAACAGCAAACACTTAATATTAATGAGTGTAATAAATATTTTATATAGACCAACCAAACTTAGATTTTTCTCATTATTTGTTCTTTCTTTTCTAAAACAGTCATTAGTTTTGATCCTAATCATCTACAAGCTGCCAATCATATATAAGTTTCTGAAGTTAACTTTTCAGTAGCTCTCATGGAGTGAGGTTTCCTTTCTCCTTCTCTCTCTCTCGCTCTCTCTCTCTCTCTTTCTTTCTATCTCCATCTCTCTCTCCTTCCTTTCTTCCTTCCTTCTTTTTCTTTCTTGTTTTGTTTTACTTTTGTAGTCTTAGCCAAAGATTTTAAATGGGGAAAATGAAGAGAATTTAACAGTATAGCTTCGGGGCTGTCTATTGTTTCTTCCATTTATTGTTTCTTCCATTTTTCTTTGGGTGGGTAGCTATCCAGTTTTTGTGGGGTTTTTTTTATTTAATTTTGTATTAAAGAAAAATCTAAAAATAGAAAAGTAGTATTTAGGAGAGTTTAAGCACAATCTTCACAAGAGGGCCTTCACTTCTGACACAATTGCAAATGTAGAAGGTTACCAAGACCACCCTCAGCTTACATAATTTGCTAGAAGGATTCACAGAACTCATTGAAAGGTGTTATTACACTAATGGTTACAGATTGTTTCAGGGAAAGGATACAGGTGAAAAACAACCAAGGAAAGAAGTGCGCAGGACAGAATCCAAATGAAGTCCTAAGCAGAGTCCTAAGCACAGAGCCCCTGCTGTGTTCTCTCCATCAAGTCAGGACACGTCACTTTCCTCACAATAATGCGTGACAATATGTGCAGAGTATTGTCATCCGGGGAAGCTAACCCAAGACTTTAGTATCCAGAGTTTTTATTGGGGCTCGTAGTGTACTGCCTGCCTGGCTGACCTTTAGTCATTAGCTGCTCGCAGAGGTCAGGCTAATATCTTTGGTCTCTAGTTCCCCTGGAGGTCAGAACTGATACTGTGTGGCCCAGGGCTCCCATCATAAACCACATTGTTAGACTGTCTAGTGGCCAAAGCCCTCAGCAAACAAAGACCCTCCTGTCAGGCAGGACATTCCAGGGACTTAGAGGTTATCTTCCAGTAGCCAAGAGCAAAAGCCAGAACTCTCTTTAGACAAGGTTAATTCTTCACTACTCAAATATAATGACTCTCCACCACTGCCCCTGCCCATACTTATCACTCAAATTCAAAATTGTCCTACCAATGGTGGCCAATCTTATTTTATCTTATTTCATCAGATAGTGTGCTAGAGTTAACTCATAGCTAGTTCACAAAATCTGATTGTTACATTTTTAGAAATTTTGTAAGCTCGTTGTTAAGCACAGACGTTATAAACAATTAAGTTATATAAACTTATTATATAAATTAGATTAAAAACCAAAGATAAATGCTCAAACTCATCATTTTCTAATTATTTACTATATTTTACTGTTAATAGGCTCTTGCACCAATTTACATCTGTATGGTAAAAATACATAGAACGATGTACTCTTATGCATCTTTTCCCATCTCTGTGTTACCTGGCATCACAGTTCTAGCCTGACAATGGCAAGGCTAAGAACATTTATTTACACAATGAAGTTTCAGCAAATATTATGAATCAAGACTTTTTTTGATACTCCGTAAGTTTGAGAAGCATCTTTCTATTGATCCAACTGTTAATAGAGCTGTAAAGAGTAGACTGTGATAACACTGGGATGAATTTCTGATAAATTATTTCAAAACATCAACCATAGTGCTTGTAGAGCTGATGGTTCTCTCATGGAATACATTTTCTAAAAAGATTAACACCACACAAATCACTTTGGTGTAAGTCTGAATTTAATTTTAATTGTAAATTTATAAAACAGCATTTAATGTTTCCTGTGACATTTTCTGTAAATCGTGGAGGTTGTACTTGTACAAGAAACAAAAAGTGACATTTTGATTTGTATATAATTAAAATGTAAAATAAAAATGTATGTAATTAAAATTTCATTTATATGAAAATATTGTTTTTCTGTTGTATACAATAATCTTAAATTTTAATTTCTGTTTCTGAGGCTGCAGACATTTGCTTTGCAGTGTTGTAGCAGTTTTCAAAACCAGAGATTCTAAACTCTTTGAAGAAGTCTAGTAAGTACTTGATATGCTTTATTGCAATGTACACGTGTAAGCTTTTATCTTGTGGTGATTTGCTGACAAAGTTTATTGCCTGCGAGCCAGGGATTGCAAGATCACAATCAGTTTTTGATATTCTTTAATTTAATTCTGTGCAGATGCCATAGAGATGGTTCCAGGGATGGGAGGGGAAGCCAGTTTACCTCCATGAGGAGCCCCCTCCCCTTTTCTGAGGCCGCCATTGCTGCCAGCAGTCTGGGCCCTGGTCTGGGCAGAGCCATTCTTCAGACAACATGGCACCTTAGACTGTCTCACACTTGCCTGGACAGGTACTGGGCCAGCTTCTTAGAGTGCAGGTCGCCTGCCCTAGCATAGGCCCATGGGGCAGTGGGGTAGGTGTATTTTTATTTTCTTCTTTTTTCTAGTTTTCTGTGTTTTATTCAAGAATAAGTAATAGTTAAATAACTAGACAACAACAACAACATTTTTTAAAATGTCAGTTGTATTATCAGTTCTTTTCCTGGATTTCATCCTTTATAACAATGCATTTGTTCTTTTATGTAGGGTATACCTGAACAGATGTATCAGGCTGAAAAAGCACAGTGGGCAGTAATTTGAAATTTGTTTTATTAAAATACCTACTTGTCCTTGATTTATTTTTAGTTGTGTCCTCAATTCTTTCAGGAGTCTGGTCCATTTTAATTTGGATGAGTGACTTAATCTGTATGAGCCTTAGAGGGGTACTTCCATAATAATTTATGTTTTAAGTTGCTCTGAGTGGACAAAAGGTGTCTTAGAAGGTATAATAGTATTGCTCTAATTATAAATCCTTAAAAATAATCAGAGACTGACTAATAAGAATTAAATCTAATTTTCTTTTGGGCCCCTTTATTAGCCAAGATGAGTGCTTTACACCCTAAGAGAGAAGCAGAAGAAATAATGAGCTGGCATATCAATGTAAACCTGACATTAATACTTTTATAGTATTTTCTTGTAACAGAGCAGTACAGGATCGGGAAAGGATGGGGCTGCCAAGGAACTGTGTAATTTTAAAAAAGTATTTACTTATTGGTTTGTCTTTAAAAAGATTTGAGGTATCTCATTATTTTCAAGTAAATGACTCCCAAATTCATCATTTGAACTAACTAGAGTTGAGATGGCACTGAACGTAGAGGAAAGCTTAATGTACTCTCTGTGCTCAGAAACCTGGAGTCCCACTTAAAGGTTTCCCGTATACCTCCCCTTTTTTATTTCTTTTTGGAGTCCTAACTCTGGTCCTTATTCACTTCTTTCCATTGTCGTAGAGAGCTCTGATACTGTTTTCATTTATAAAAGAAAACAACTCAGATAAGAAGGTGGTGGGCAGGGCTGTGCTTCCTACAAGGGTGAATTAAGGATGATTTGACGGACAAAAGTTCTGCTCTCTATAAAAATCTATTATTAGAGTCACTCTTTGGGATTAAGACACTGTCTCTAGAAAGCCCTTATTAATTGTAGGTAAGGATTGATACATGGGTCTTCTATCATTTCAGCAAGGACAATTTCACCACTATCCTAGCTGATAACTTAGAGTTTTATTGTATTAACCTTACACACACACACACACACACACACACACACACACACACACACACACTTTGAGAAGCTTTGGTCATCCAGTCCATTCCAAGACTTGCACATTGTAGTACAAAGCATACCTTTAATATATCTTTATTAAATTAATGGGCAGGAGAAAAGGAAAGTCTGTTGTGTGTTCTGTGGGGAGATGGTAGCTTCAGATGTGTGTGTGGAGTCTGGATATTAAATCTACCAAGGGACGAAAATTTTGATGCAAGGATGAAACACTTCTCTCAGTCACTAATTTTCAAGCCACACACACACACACACACACACACACACACACACACACACACACAGATGTGAAATGGATGAAATGCATCCTGCCTTGTAATATGTTTGTCTTAATTCATTGAGTTTTCAACTGTTCAGATATATCTTTAAATTTTT